TTAAAGCAAGGTTGGTAGCAAAAGGGTACAAACAAAAGCCAGGTATTGATTATTTTGAGGTATTTGCTCCTGTAGCGAGATTAGATACAATTCGTATGCTTATCTCTATATCAGCTCAAAATAATTGGAAAATTCATCAAATGGATGTTAAATCTGCTTTTCTGAATGGCACTTTGGAAGAAGAAGTATATGTTGAGCAGCCTGCAGGATATGAAGTTAAAGGAAAAGAAGATAAAGTCTACAAATGGAAGAAGGCATTGTATGGTTTGAAGCAGGCACCCAGGGCGTGGTATAAGAAGATTGATTCTTACTTTGTGGATAATGGTTTTCAGAGATGCCCATTTGAACACACTTTGTATATCAAATCTGTTGATCCTGACAATATTCTTATTGTGTGCCTCTATGTTGATGATCTAATTTTTACTGGCAATAATCCAAAAATGTTTGCAGAATTCAGGGAGGCTATGGTTAAATGTTTTGAAATGACGGATCTGGGTCTAATGTCTTATTTTTTGGGCATCGAGGTTGATCAGCAAGATGATGGAATTTTCATTTCTCAAAAGAAATTTGCAGGTGATATTTTAAAGAAATTCAAGATGGAGAATTCAAAGCCAATTTCAACACCTGTTGAAGAAAAGTTGAAGCTGACAAGTGACATTGAAGGCAAGAAAGTCAATCCAACTCTCTATAAAAGTTTGATTGGAAGCCTTAGATATTTAACTGCAACCAGGCCAGATATTGTCTATGGAGTTGGACTACTCAGCAGATTCATGGAAAAGCCTCGAGATTCTCATTAGCAGGCAGCTAAAAGAATTCTCAGATACATCAAAGGTACTCTGACAGAAGGAATTTTCTATGATAAAGACATTGATGTGAATCTTGTTGGATATACGGATAGTGATTGGGCAGGAGATATAGAGACGAGAAAGAGCACGTCAGGATATGCATTCAATCTTGGAAGTGGTACTATATCATGGTCATCAAAGAAGCAACAAGTGGTGGCACTCTCAACAGCCGAAGCAGAATATATAGCAGCAGCAAGTTGTGCAACCCAAGCTGTGTGGCTGAGAAGAATGCTTGAAGTGATGCATCAAAAGCAAAATACTCCCACAGTGATATTTTGTGATAATAAGTCAACAATTGCATTATGCAAAAATCCAGTATTTCATGGACGATCCAAGCACATAGATATTCGATTTCATAAAATCCGAGAACTGGTAGCTGAGAAAGAAGTAGCAATTGAATATTGTCCAACTGAAGAACAAGTTGCAGATATTTTCACGAAGCCATTAAAAGTCGAGTTATTTTATAAGTTAAAAAGAATGCTTGGAATGATACAAACTTGATTTAAGGGAGGCAATGTCAGAAAATTAAATCAAGCCAACAATTTTAAATTGCTGCAACAGGAACTTTTAATTTTGACTATTCAAAAATTACTGCACCGTCTCAAATTGAAATTTGGAATTCAACAGAGGCTGCACATCTGAAATTGAAAGTAGCAAAATTTGACATCGAAGAGGACAAAGCCAATTTGTATTCTTGTTCCTTCCAAATGAAGTTTTCTAAATATAATATTATACTATTTTGTTTGATGTATCATCTGCCTATAAAAGGCCATATGCTGTACGTATTAATTTTGTGTGTGTTATGAAATGAAATAGATGAAATGATGAAATCAGTTTTTCTCCTCTCTTCCTTTGTGTGTGTGTGAGTTATTTTAGAGTTATTATGTTCCACTGATAACATACTTAAATTACTTGAAGCTCAAGTATTCAAGAGAGAAGTCTAATCATAGAAGTTGGTAAACGCTGATGTCTAATGAGATATTTGGAGGAGCTTATTTCATTACATGAAGATAGTTCGTCCCCTTTTGGTCAAGCTCATGAATGAACTCTTTTGTAATAGGAATTTGTTGAACATGTGGATAATTAAATTACATATCTGAACTGAACACATGGATAACTTGGAGTAAACTTATTCTATTCTAATAAGTGATTTCAAGTTGGATGCCCGAGTACATTGATTTACATTAAATACTCGAAGAAAGAGCTTTCATCTTCATAATAATCCTAAATGGTTTGAATAGAATTGTTACCGCGACATGTAGTTTCTAAAAAAAAAAAAACAGGCTTAGATACTAAATGGTACCTTAATTTGTTTGAGCCTCACTGCTAAATGCAGAATTGTGTTACCTTCTTTGTCTTTGGCAAGCAGAAACTGTTGTTCACTTGTTGCTGATTGTACAAAGAATTTCAAGGCGTCCAAATGATTATACCTAACACACAAGTGCAGAACAGAGCCATCATCAAAGATCTGATGAATGGAGTCAGGTCTGGCTCTGGTCAACTCCTGAATTGCTCCTATGCGTCCTCTCATTGCAGCCAAGTGGAGAGGAAGCATGTCATCTTTGTCCAGAGCAAAGCAAGCATCTGAATTTGTGAGCAAAAGAGCTTTCACAACCTCAGTGTTGCCTTCAGCACAAGCCAGATGAAGAGGGAAACGTCCTTCAGAGTCAGCTTCACTAGCTAAACTTGGTTTTCTTTTAAGAAGAACCTCACAGAAGTTCAAATGGCCAAGCAAAGAGGCTATGTGTAATGGGGTTTCACTGAAGGGAGAGAGTGAAACTCTATTCAGAATAAGAGGGTTCCTTTGGATCAGGGTGTTTAAGGTACTTACACTGCCATCTAGTGATGCTTCGTAGAGTGTTGCTATTGTGTTATCTTCTAGAGTTGGAGTTGCCTTCACCTCCATTGCTGGAACAGCTAATCAGATCAATTTCTTTTATTTTCGGAAACTCAATAATTTATTGATAAATATGTAAAACTAAGATGAAGCTAACAGAAGAAAACCAACCCAATGGAGACATGACTACAAGTCTAAAAGTAGGAAAAGTCCCCAAACTGCTCCGATGTTGACACTGTGCGGCAAGTCAGTCAAAGACTGTTCAATTATGATGCAAAACTAAAAAAGAAAAAGAAAAATTTAAAAATCATAAGATACAGCTAAAAGTTTTTAGAAAAAACTAAAAAGAGTATAGTTAACTAGGAACTTGAAAAGTCAAAAAATGCTAGAAATTTCCATCATCATCCAAAGGTGGTGCATCATTTTTATAAGCAAATTGGAATTTCATGCTCTACTCTCACAAATTAAATAGGCTTTCATTATTCATTATCAACTACTATTCAATTATCATACACCATTTCTCAAAACTACTCATGTTGCTATCATTCTTCCAACAAATAAAATTAATTTATTTTTGATACTTCTAAATTCTATCGGTGGTACTAAAGTTACATTTAGTCATCTACTAGAGGTAGATGAATTTCTCAACTACTTCTAATAAAAAAATCCAACTATATTCTATACTACTTTTAAAATATTTTCTCAACCCATAATCACTACCAATCAATCATCATCTAGTCCGATTTTTATTTTCACCAAAGAAAACTGATTTTTGGAGCGTCAAAACGAAGACATTTTTTTGCTCTCAAGATTTATGGGATGTTATAGAATATGAGTTTATTATTTCAAAAGACACGTAAACTCTTACTGCAATTCAAAAGAAGGAGTTGAAGGAAAACAAGTAAAAGGATTCAGAGACATTATTTATTCTTCAACAAGCAGTTGATGACACAATTTTTCCAAGAATAATGAGTGCCTTAAGTGCAAAGGAAACTTGGAGCACAATATAAGAGGATTTTCAAGGAAGTGATGAAGTACACAATGTTAAACTTTATTTCCTAAGATGCGAGTTTGAATTAAAAAAAAATGAAAGAATCTGAGACCATAAAAGATTATTATTCTAGAATAAAAGAACACATTTTCTTAACCAAGGTCAAGTTCGAACCTTGATATGCCAAGGTCGAGTCCGAACCTTGAGATCACATTTTCTTAACCAAGGTCGAGTTCGAACCTTGATATGCCAAGGTCGAGTCCGAACCTTGAGATCACATTTTCTTAACCAAGGTCGAGTTCGAACCTTGATATGCCAAGGTCGAGTCTGAACCTTGAGATCACATTTTCTTAACCAAGGTCGAGTTCGAACCTTGATATGCCAAGGTCGAGTCCGAACCTTAAGAACACATTTTCTTAACCAAGGTCGAGTCCGAACCTTGAGACTACATTTTCTTAACCGAGGTCGAGGTCGAATCTTGATATACCGAGGTCGAGTCCGAACCTTGAGCTCACATTTTCTTAACCGATGTCGAGGTCGAACCTTGAAGATCACAAGGTCAAATTTGAACCTCCAAACAACAAATTTGGGAGCTCCTCAAAAGCCCATTTGCTCTTACATCACTCAGTGCTTGGGGGGCAAGTGTACTGGCCAGCCGAGTTGCCGACTTGTCCCTCACCAATCTGCTGACTCGGTCAAAGGTTTACCAGCCTAAACAAGCAGTAAACTCATTGTTGCCGAGCTCTTCAGCTCGGCCATGACACATGGCATCATGGTAGGCAGGCATACGTGAAAGGTCACTGTTCCCTGACGAACTCGGTCTTAACTCCTTAACCTACGGTCTTCGGAGCTCGGGGGGCTAGTGTACTATCCGTACTGCGAAGCCGAGCTCCCAGCTCGGTATCACAGCGCAAGACGACCTCGGACACATGCTATGTGACGTCAGCTCGTCGCCCAAATAGGTCATAACTGATCTCGGGCCCAAGGCCCAATAAAACCCTAATTCATACTAAGGTACGTGCATTATTTATACGAGACTAATACTCCCACAAACACTAACTTTAGCATCGGAGTCTCTTTTGCAGGTACCACCCCCATCTTGGAGCATCAAGCGTACCAATATATATATATATATATATATATATATATATATATATATATAAATCCTAACAAATTTTTATGTTTTCCTTTTGTATAAACTATTATCAGGAGTCCTTTTATTTCATTCTTATATAAGTTTGATCTTGATCCTGATGAAGAGGTTTGTATTCACATCCTATCTTGCAGTTGCAATTAATGTGTCAATACTTGAAAAACAATATTCATATTTCATGGTGCTTGTTTTAGAAGTATTTTGGTAGACATAGCAAACTTTTTTTTAATAACATATATATCGCATGTTTTACTTAGAGATTGATGGTAAAAAATGGCATGCATGACATGTGTTAGTTATTTTATTTTATTTTTGGGTGTGTTATATTCATTTTTTTTTATAATATATGATTTGCATGACTTATTTTTAGACAATGAAACAAAGTTTTGGAGGATTGAAAATGTAACGCATCATTTTGGATTGCATAATTATAATGAGAATTATTCAATATGGGTTGTTTATTACAAGAACATTAAGAATCATAAGTTCTATAAGCATAAAGATGTTTAAAGAGACTTCTTCAATGTGTTTAAAGATGTCATATTTTGTTTGCATAAGTCTTTATAGAATGATTCCTTAAGTAGAAGAATTAGTGTTCAAAATTTAATCAAACTAATATTGTTTAATTATCTTAATTTATCACTTTCAGATATGTTATTAGTGATCTAAAAGATTAAAATAAAATTTTTAAAAATTTCAAGAACTAAAAATAACAATTTCAAATTTAATGAATAAAAATATATTTATATTAAATTTGATAAAAACAAATGTAATTATATTGACTAATGATTTAGCCTCTGAATCGTGAGTCCAAATTTTTGTCCAAACAATTAAAATAATAATATTTTTTAATAAATTTATTATAAAATAATTATTTTATAATAAATTTATTAAAAAATATTATTATTTTAATCGTTCGGAGGATGAATTGGAAAAAATTTCGGAGTACTTAATTATATTTAGGATAGAAATAATCGGCGATACCGTACGTTTATGAGATTACCCGGGTGAGATTGCCAAAGGGTTTTGAGGTTTTTGGTTTTGGTTGAAGCTCCCTCTTTCAATTACCAAAATCCAACGATTAATTCTGAATTTCCTGTAATTATATTTATTCAAACCCGTCGATTCTTTTTCTCTCTTTTCATATCATAAGTGAAAGTGATAACATCTTTTTTTTTTTGTTTTTTTTTTTTTTTTTTTTTTTTTTTCTTTCCATCGTAGTCGATTCCGTTATAAAAGCATAAACGGTTGTGTTTGAGTTGAGAATGGGTCCTCGACAGTGTCAAGTCTGCGACCAAGCTCAGTCCAAGTACAAGTGCCCTTCATGTTACTTACCTTAGTAAGCTAAATCTCAAACCTTTCTTCAACTTTTTTATTTTTATTTTTACTTTTTTTTTTCTTCTTAAAATTATTGTCTTGTTCATTCTGCTTGCAGTTGTTCCCTTGTCTGTTTCAAGAAACACAAAGGTGTGGCGCCTCTTTAATTTATGTTTTTTGTTTGCACATTTAATGCTTGATGTAATGCGGGTGAAAGTTTCCACCTGAAAGGATGGGAAATATTTTATTTTTTTGTGCTGCTTGAGCGTTGAGCTATGCTATTGACTTTTACTTGGTCATACCAATCAAAATTGGGAGGTATTTCATGTTATCTTCTTCATCATGGGGCAAATGAAATTTTCACCATGGAGACATGATGCTGTGACCGTTAATCTTTCTCGGAATTTCCTACCTGATTCTTGAATTGATCGGAAATACTTCAATGTGTTGTTGCAGAATCTCCATGTGTCAAGCCGCAACCATCAGAGGCCAAAACAAGTAAGAGTTTTGTTCACCTTTCTTAGGTAGTCTACATGATGATTGATTTTTTTCGTTGCCCACTCTCCCATGGTAGATATTGGACTTTGTAGTTTTATAATAATAGACTAATGTCATTTCATTACATCTTTTTAAGATGAGGTTTATCTTTTGAGTCTTTTCCTTTATCTCCTAATCTGCCTCATCGATTGTGTATGCTGAAGAGAAGCACAACCTTGTGCTGTAATGCCCTTTCGACACATGGAGTTTAGGGAAAGGTTGAACCCACCATAAGGGTCCATGCTAGGCAGCCTTATCTTGTATTAGTTAGAGGCTGATTCCACCACAAGCTAACCTTTCACTACAGAGTATTATGCAAAAAATTGGTTTTACATTTGGCTGAAACTTAAAGTGGCATGTACAAATCTTTCTTCTTGTAGTTTTCCTGTCTAATTATTATTTTTAGAAAAGCTTGTGATATGGTCTTGGTAGCGCACTGTAATTTTCTGTCAAACTAACTCAATCAACAATGTTCAAGCATGAAATAAACTTGTGGTTTTTGGCAACTACGGTCCATGTAATAATCCATTGCTCTTGAGCACATTGGTTTTCTAATATTGATGTTTCTCTTTTGTTCGTCAGCTGCTGTTTCAGAATCAATTGTAGAAAAGCCATTAGTTGTCAATGAAACAAGTCATGTGTTGCAAAAATTCCAACTGGAGGCCATAGGTATGCTTTATTTGTATATAAGAATGCCCTACATGCAACATCACAGTACAGAAACTCCAGTGGTGAAGCCAGGATATCGGTTAATTTTTTTAGAATGATTGTATTTTTGTTGTAGCCTCTTCCAGTGAGATTCGTGATGCTTTGAATGATAAGTCTCTTCAAGAACTAATTTGCCATATTGATTGTTCCTCAAATGCAGACAATGTAAGTGCTTTCTTTTTTCCACTTGTAGCTGCTTGTCTTGCAATCATATATAGACTGATATTTATTTATTTATTTATTATTATTAGTTTTAATACTCAGAGTCATAGAGCGTAATTTACTGAGAAATTTTGTGTTTCTCTGTTAGGAACTTGATAAAGCTATGGCAGAGGAGGCATTTCGGTTGTTCACTGACAAGGTAATGCTATATGTTGATTCTGATGTGCATTCTTTCCCACTGCATGTGAAGCCTTAATAGGGTTGAATCACATTGGATAGATTCAAGTTGTCAAGTACCTTAAGCCTTGCTTTTTCCTTTTGTTCCATTGGTTTCCAGATTTTATCAACCATCAACCCCTAACTGCTAGCACTGGTTGCTGAAAGAAGATTTTGTGGAATATAAAAGGAACACCCGATAAGCCTCCGAATTTTGCAAGTTTTGGTTAATATTTCTTTTTCATTTGTACAGCTTTAATTTACCTGTGATTCAGCTTTTGATGTATGATAAATTTTGTATCTTGATTGAGGCATTGTATTGGTAAAGAGATTGATTTGATACCTAGATTTTGCTAGTAAATCTCAAACTGTCCAGTGTTGCCTTTGAGTTTTGACTCTCTTGAATTATCGGGTTACATTTTCATTCAACTGGATGAGAAGTCATGGTGTATTGATGTTTATATTGATAATGGCATATGTAGCGTGAACTAACTTGGTTGTTCAATTATTGGAGATAGAGAAAATGCAATTATTATAACACATCAATCAAATTTTATTGTAAATTAATTATAAAGCTTTAGATAATTTTGGTAATCAATCGATGAATGGTCCGGCTATAAACTTCAGAAGTTCAGGTTGATTTATAAATCTCTTGTGAAGCTGCAGCGCAACCCAATCCTATTTCAGTTGTGGACCATGTATGAAAAATTATAATGAACGTTTTTCTTGATCAATACATAACATTTGATTTATGCCATCATTTGTCGCACAAGTAATATTATATACAAGCTTGTTAAATTGCTAAATTCGAGTCTAAGTATGTTTATTTAATATAAAAAATAATATTAAAAAATTACTAGTGACAGATATGTATGACGCAATACTCAACAATAATTCAACATTTCAATGTGGTAATAAAGTAAAATAGTAAAGTACAATAATGAATTGTGACTCTAGACTAGTAGTAATAAATAAGATTAAACTATACAGATGACCAAATTGTAAATAAATTTATAAAAACAAAAGTTACTGAAGTGAAAACATTCAAAAAAAAATTATTCAAATTATTTTAGTTATGATAAAATTGTCACCATAGGTCAATGAGGGGTAAAAATTATTTGATTTCAAACTCATTTACTCACTCTTTTTAGATTGAGAGTTTATCTAAAATATAGTTTGATAATAAGTTAACGCCTTTTGTCCATTTAGAATTATAACATCGTGAGAGTTTAAGAGTTAATTCGAGAGTTTAACTAACATGATTACATATATATTATAACTTTTACAATTTTATTGTATGTGTGTAGTTTTCACATTACACACTTGATTATATTATATTTTAATCGACTAATCTCCAAGAAATACTTGTACTTTAAAAGGGTGGTTATATGGTTATTAAACGTATGCTTCAAGAAAAATATTTAATATAAACTTACTTTTTCTTCCATATTTTTTTTTCTTCCTATTCTATATTTTTTATGATTGTCGTTCTTTCTTTCTTTCATTCTCATAACATCATATCACATTTTATTTTTGGCACTTTCTATTTTTTCCTTTTTATCTTTCTCTTCCTTTTATCCCCCATATACTTCCTTTTACCTCAGAATTTTAATTATTTTTAAAAAAATTTGTACTAATACAAATAAAGCATTACAATAATTAAACAAACGTTAATATTTTATTATATTTATAATCAATTTTAATTTATACAAGTCTAATGTTTTATCTAAATTTTTATGTTATAGCTCATGTTATAATTTTTAGAATTTGTTGCGTTTACTATTCATGTATTCATTATTGCGTTGTATCCTTGTCTGGTTAATAGTGCCAAGAGCCATGTAAATGAGGGGTTGTTTCACTTTTTTTTTCTTTATAAATAATCAACATCCATACGCTGCTGTAATGTCTAGCAGTAAAAAATTGATTGTACAATAGTAAATAGGGAGCACTAGCAGAAGATGAATCTGAATCCAATCCAAGAGTAAACAGAGAGGATCTTCTACGTTTATTGTAGACTGTATAGAGAACTACACTTCCCATAACAAATAATCTCTAAAATAGTATGAACTTTTAAGTGGGGGTAAAAAGGGCAGGGCAAAACGAAGGGGACAGAAATAGTCCAAGGGTGAAAATAATTTACATGTTAGCCGTACGTTTACAGATTAGCTTGTTACTGAGAACTGCTAAAAGGTTAGTTCTCGTATATTACACCGCTAAGAAGATGCCGGAAAAGCTAACCTGCAAAGTGCACAAGCCATTGTTAATGATAGATATCCTTGTTTTGTGCACTATCACTAGAAAGACTTACAATCCCCTGATCCTGATGTGAGAGTTACTGCTACCAGCGATCCATAAGTAAGCAGCACCATTTGAATTGTCAACGCTAGATTGTACATATCAACCAATCATGTTTCGTCTGAATATCAAGAAACAAATCGATATACCTTAGCCATTACTAGTTTATAAGCAAGATTAAATTGAATTAGCTAACAAATAGAGTAAATTACATCTCCTTCTACATACAGATACTTCTATTAAATTCCCCTCCTCCTTTATTTTAAGATACTCACTTTTCTCCCTTAAAAAAACGTTGCATTTGGGTCTATTATAATGTGAATTAATTTTTAAAGATTTTTTTTTTCTCTTGTAGTGATTTTTTACATGATTAATAATTAATTTTGAACATCTACTATCAATTTTGTAATCTTAGAAAATGAAATAAAGATTTTAGATGAAACTTCACGGTCGATAGTAAAAGTATTTAAAATTTCATTACACCTAAAATACTAAAATTAATAATGACATAGAAAGTTGAAGAAAAAGACAAAATATTATTGGGAGATAAATTTATAATTGTTCATCACTTTTTAAGATTTTTTTTTTATATTGAAAATGACTAACGTGTATCTCTTATTTGTCTCTTTGGGGAGTGTATGTTTTAAAATAAGAAGGGAAGAAAGTGTAATTTAAATATTTTTCCAATGGAGGAGGAAGTAATTTATTAACAAATATCATAAGGAATTAGGACTATATAAAATATGAAGAAAATTTGTTTTCTCGTTTATACTTAAAATCCCACTACCAAGTTGATCTAAAGACAAGTGCAGTTCAGTTGGATTTGAAAAATAGCATGTATATTTTCATAAATACAGTTCAATTAGAAGACTACACTGGAACTTTACCTGACTGATGCTTTTCTGGATTCTCTTGACCCCTACTGGTACTAGGCTTGCTGACATTTGGTTGGTTCATTGCCTGATTTCCACACATGCAAATGAATTTCATAAATGTTTGCATCTTTGTGCCAAATTAAAAAAAAAAAAAAAAAAAAAAAAAAAAAAAAAAAA